AGCATCAAGGCTGAAAACAAAGTGGACCACCAATGGCAATACCATCCTCAACATAGGCAGAACTCACAAAGCTAAAGCTGCAAAGCCTCAAGCACAACAGAAAGGCTTGATGCATTATGAACTTGAACAGGCAGGAGCTGCTGAGAATAACGGAGTTTCGCCCAGCCCACATATAGGTAGTTCTCTAAATTAGGGTCCCTTTTTAACGGCACCACAAAAAGGCGACTTGGACAGAGCTCAAGATGTTTGCATTGCTGTTAGGGTTTAGGGTTTAGGGCTTTAGGGGATCTTTCCCTCCCACTTAGCAAGGACGAGCCCGCATTGCAGGGTTTAGGGGTTTAGGGTTTAGGATTTCGGGTTTAGCTCCAAGGGAGCTTGATACTCTTGCCGAGGACCGCGAGGACGAGTGCAAGACCAGTGCAACACCACAATAAGCTCCGCCCGGTTGCGGGCATGGAAAGCGCAGGAACGGTTGCAGGCCAACAAAGCTTCGATTTGCGAACCCCCAGGCCCTAGTCCGATAGGGACCCCGGGTCAAGAGTTGAATAACTTACTACTAGCTTTGCTATTGCTGTTGTGTCCTGATTATTCTTATGCCTGTTTTGATTTTTGTTATTACTATTAGTAGTAGTATGTGGAGTTGAAGTTTAGGGAATCCCTCAGACGAGCTCAGAACCTAACACTGCACTGCTAAGAACTTCGACTCGGAACCCGTAAACGGGCCATGTTTGGTAGCCTTGAACTCGAACTCTATCTTGTTGATGCTTGCTCTCCCGCAGCAACTGTCGGAATTGATATGTTCTGCGAAGAGCTTATGGAACCCCTGCGTGAATCCCAACTCCAACCCCCCAAAGACCCTGCCCACTTCCGGCCCGAATCATCGCCATCTGGTAGCATACTATGGTACTTGAGCTGCCGAGAACCGGTGCCTTGCTCTTGTCATACTGCCTCCGGTAGATGATGGCATATTCCGGGTAGACCTGTTCGAACATAAATCTATGATGTCTATGTAGAGTTGTTTATGGTCTTTGCTCGAACGTCGCATGTACAGCAGGCAAGAGGCTGAAAGCCTGTTGCCTAGGTGCGTTCCCAGAACGAGTTCAGTGTTTAGGCCTTCGCCGAACAGCGTCGTATGACAATCCAAAACGCTCAACCAACCTGACCATTCTATACGGGCTTCAGGGCCACGCTGTGAATAGTACCTAGAACTTAGGCCAGTCTAGATAGAAAAGTATAATGTGCAAGATTCCCTAAACCCTTAACCTGTCAAGTGGGAGGGAGAAAAAACCTGTGCCAAGAGCACAGCCGTGCAACCTAGTTCCGATCGAATCGGAGCCCGGTTCCAGAGGACGATTTAAGCACGTACTGCTTAAAGTATAGGGGCTAACGTAGACCCCGAGACCCCTGCTACTATGGGGTTTAGGCCGCAGGGTTTTTTCCACCCAGTTAGGGTTTAGGGTTCAGGGTTTCGACTCTCACACTCGCACCGGGCAGGCAAGGAAGGGTTTGTATGGATCAACTCGGCAATACCAGGCAAGCCATGGGTGGGTGTTCGGGGCCCGCGTCGTGCCTTCTCTTCGTCGAAGAAAACGAACTCGCGGTACGTCCCCACCTGGAGGTGTGTTAAATGCAATGATACTGAATCCTCCATGCCCTAACTGTCGCCAGCTCCAAGCTGACACAAGGAATCGAACCGCACAGCACATCTCTGCAAGTTCAGACTCACAGCACTCGCAGCTAGAATTCAGGATTTAGGCAAGGCCTCTACGTCTTCGAATGCAATGTGCTGGGATCAACAGTGGTCTGGGGAGGCGTATATGGCATCTTCAACCAATTTATGGCACTGAGTGAGGGCCGCTACTCTCATTGGTTAAGGGGTGTCCTTCCTGCAGCTCTCTAGTACATCACAGCAAGAGGAGATATGACAACAAGAACGAGGAAAGCGGAACGCCAAACTCTGGGGGGAAATGACTTGTTGCTGCCGCTCTATCTCTCTCTCTCTCTCTTTCTCCCCGTGTCTCTGTACGTGCCTAGTTCTTTCAGGAACTCCAATATGACCGTCACGAGACATCAATTGAAAAAGGCTGCACTGCTCCCTAGATGGCGCGTGATCTAAGCGTTCTCATCATGCTTGTTTGCACCCGCGTTTCCAATAGAGTCTTAGTGAACTGGGGGGCCCAGGCACGACAAAGGACCTAAACACAGGTACTCAAACTAGGTGCCTTATGTTTTGAATGCCATGATACGGTGGTGTATTATCAGCTTTTGCATGTAACGCATGGCTTTTTCTATAGGGTTTGATTGTTGGCTATACGACTATTGCTGTTGTTAGTGTTAGCACTACTGTTCTTGTTATTCTTAACATTTGCCGTTCTTATTACGATCATGTCATGTTCATTATAGTGGTTATTGTTCTTGTTGCTACTATAAGCACATAGGGCCCTACACCCTAAAGCCCTAAGCCCTAAACCCTAAAACCCTAAACCCTACAAGCCCTAAACCCTAAAGCTCTATAAGCCCTATAAGACCTAAGCCAGCTGCAGCCGCCCAAAGCACCTTCGCTTCCCGGTCCCCGCAGATGCAGTGGTTGCCACCGCGACGAGCGGTCGGCACCTTGAGAAGCCATACATGGGTAGCCCTTTAAGGGTTTAGGGTTTAAAGTTTAGGGGCCATAAATGGGTAGTTCTCTGAGTTAGGGTCCCGTTTTCGGGGTTCCGTAAAAGGAATCTATAGGGTTTAGGGGCCGTAGATGGGTAGTTCTCTGAATTTAGGGTCCCTTTTTAGGGGTTCCGTAAAGGGATCTGTAAGGGTTTAGGGGCCGCAGATGGGTAGTTCTCTGAATTAGGGTCATTTTTGGGGTTCTAAAGGGACCCATAAGGGTTTAGGGGCCATAAATGGGTAGTGCTCTGAATTAGGTCCCTTCTTAGGGGTTCCTTAAAGGGATCTATATAAGGGTTTTCTCTACGGGTACGACTCGAAATTAGGGTCCCTTCTAGGGTCCTCTTAATACGGGTGCCGTACTATTTCGGGGACCCAAAAGGGGACCCTAGTATAGAACTCAAATGGAGGCTCGAGGGATTTGGTTGCCTTTGGGGGTTTAGGGCTTATGGTTTAGGGTCTATAGTCTATAGCGCGTAGGGCTTGAGAAGCCATAACTGTTTGATGCTGTTTGTATTGCTACAGTTTGCGTGGGGTACCACAGTTTTTGGGATCAAGGTGTTCCTGATTGCTTGAGTTCGCGGCTCCAGGGTTTAGTGAATCTCGGAGAGTCTAACTGTCAAGATGCAAGCGTGGATGTTCAGGATCCTATGCTAAATCGCCACCTCAAGGCTCCGCTTTAAAGTGCTGCAACAAAAACGCTGTCACAGTCACCTCTTCTGAAAAGATTCTGCTGTTGTCAGGCTGGTGGTGTAGGGTTTACGGTTTAGCGGTTTAGGGCTTTCGGGGTTTTAATAGGAACCCTAAACCCCTAAACCCTAAACCCTAAACCCTAAACCCTGCTCAAAAAGGTGAGATGAGGTGTTGTTTCATTCCTAGGTGCCGCCTTGGCTGCTTGGCGTGGCTCGCACCGAAGCGAAACGGCCGAGCCAAGCACCGAGGCCGGCCCGAGCCCGAGTTTACACAACATAATAAAGATAATAATAATAATAATCATAACGACAATAATAATAACAAAGTAATAGTAATCATAGTAGGCAATTTGGTTTTGTCATTATTGATGCTCTATAAATATAGTATTGTTACTACTGTTTTTGCGGTTATGATTATGCTGATATTGCGATTACGTATTGCTAATTTTATTCTTACTGTTACCAGGATTAATAACAGCTACGACTAACTATATTCTAGAGTCTAGAGAACATCATGGGCCATGGGTGCACAATCGGCAGACGAACCACAAACTACGACGCAAGCAAGACTCTAGAACTCGCACAAGACCTGCAGCCCTAGCCACCACAAACCCTAAACCCTAAACCAACCACCGTGGGTGAACCAAGCGGCATGGTCGCCGGCTGTGTCGGTCACGAAAGGCACCCCAACGAAGCATTTACCTCGCAATCCCGTAGTAGCAATTAGCAGTAGTAAGAAAACACAAGAATAGCAATGAGAAGAACAATATCACAAACAACAATAATGATCATGACAACAATAGCAATAGTATTAATGATCTTGTTTTGCCCTCTGGCCGTCTGAGGCGTCAGGGCTGAGGGCCTCTGCAACGAAGACAAAGGACACGGAGTATGGGTATGAGCTGCAACCAGTCCAAGCAAGGTTGTCCAAAGCCACATGCAGTGGCACAACATTCAGGAAGATCTAATGCAGCATTCTGGCTCCCGCATGGCAGGTCTTGAAGACCCACTTCGCAGGTGTTACGGCACTTGGACTACACAAGCTCAGTTGCAAGGAAGTTCGAGCGAGCCTGCGGTGACACCCTTTGACAAAGCTCTAATGCAGCATGCGCAACACAGCTCTTTGAACCTTAGTTGAAGTCCCGGCGACCCCAACTGCTGCCTGCTCACAATCCAACGGCAACATCTAAGCCCAGTCCAGGACTGTAACTAAGCTTCCACAGAAGTGGCTGATCATGCAGAAGGAAGGAAGGTGGTGGCAGGAAGGTGGAGAGGTGTGTGGGTTGGGCTGAAAGGTGGGGTGGTGGGTGGAGGAGTGGCGGTTCTTGGGTGGGTGGGTGGTGGAGGTGGTGGTCGTGGTGGCGGCGTCTGGCGGAAGCTCTTGCTCATGGAGCATCTAACTAGGACTGACCGTAGCAACGTTCGACTTGAGCTGATGAGAGTGAGGGCTGCACTGGTGACTACGATGAGGTTCGGGATGAGGACTTCTTTCCCGCGAACGATGAGACTGACACTGAAAAGTGTGGATATGACGATGACGAACGTGGTGGCCATGGCAAAACATCGCAGGACTGATCACACCACTTCGAAGATGTATTCATGGGCGCGACGAAGTACCATACACTTTCATGGCTCTCCAAAACTCGCGCCCTAATCAGCCGTCCTGGGCCCTAAGCCAGTACTAATTACCGGAGTACCGGAGTGGGGCCCTTCATCGGTACAAAGCACAAGGCACTGTCTGAGCTGCAGGCACACAAGCATTGCGTGTAGGGACGGGTACGTATTTCCGCCATCATCTCGACCATACTCGTCCGATTTGGATGAGCACTCGGCCATGTACACCTCAAAATTTTGATCAGTGACATAGCTGTCGCTTCAAGGGTTTACGGTTGCAGCGGCACGCCTTTCTGTTGGAGCTGTGGTGTAAGTCTGTCAACAGTCAGTGCACGGATGGACTGCGTGCTGGTACCAGTAAGCCTGCCACCCCGGCTCCGTACATTGTACCAGTCGCACCTAGCAGAGGCAACCGTCAGGCGCTGTGGGGCAGCTCTCGATATCTCAACCCTGCATACGTTCGCTCAAGAGGTTTTGCAGTGGAGTCAAATAAGCCATAATGGCCACAGACATATTTATGTCTTCTTCGTTATCCGTTATCAATCATCTGAATCATCATTACCCTCATCGTCACCATGGAATGCTGAGCCAGGAACTGCCAGCGTGGTCCAGCACAAAGCCGGTTTTCAAGATGCTCATAGCCTCAGACCATCAGACTGCAGGTGGCGATCCGGTCGGTAAACGCTAGGGGACATGTCAGGGCCCCGGCCGAGGAAGGATTCGTGCCGTGGAAAAGATAAGCTTCACCTGGAGGTGAAAACTTGCATCGGGCGCTGGTTTTTTGGTAGCTGTCTAATTACGTAAGCGCAGCCTCAATATTTAGAAGACGGCTTGTGGGGATACTACAATCTTGTATTTTCTTTAAGGGGACCACGGGAATAATGATGCCTCATATTCAGGCGCCTACAGTGTCTCTTTTGCGAAAGAGGGCTGTTTTCCTTTGGCTTTCATGGGGCTTGCGGGTCGGGACCCAGACTTGTTTGGTTACCCAAGATCGGCTGTACACCCCGTTTAGGATTGTTCCCTCTCGTATGGCTAGGGAGTAATGCCCATAAGCGAAGTTGACGTGGGTTGCTCAGACTGGCACATCACATAGGCTTAGGTTTTTGTTAGGATTTCGGGTTCCGCGCAACTTCCACTACGGCAAACGCCTGGTGGCTGAATCACACCAGCCCTGCTTTTTTTCAGCGGGGCATGCCATTTTCTACGGCACTTCAGCTTGTTGCCTTGACTGATGGCATGATTACTCACACTATTGCTACTCTCATGAACATACTTTTCATCCGGCTTGCTGTCTCTCTCTATTCACTCTCACGAACCTCCAAATCACTGAACAAACCCATTAGAGCCACCCTGACCCCAACCCCATCAAATTCCGAGCAAAGGTTTCCGCCAGAAAGCTTCAACTTTTTCAATACTTGCTGTTCAGGGGTGTATAGGACTGTATAAGGTTTCCTTTGAAATTACTCCAAGGGCGCCTGGAACCAGCCGCGTCTTCAACAACGTGTCCACATCGCCCGTCTTCACGCCGAAGTCTTCGATTTCGGCCTGCTGTTGAAAGTATCCCTTGAAGCCTGAACTTACAACACCTCTACACAGATGATGTGGAAATATGCCAACATGAACACTTTGTGCTGCTTTGCCTCTCTGGTGCTAGCGATGATGATGTTGATGATAAGGGTGTCATTAGTGGTGGTGATGACGCTCATGACACTGGCGGTATTGAAGTTGATGGCGATTGTGTTGGTGGTGGTGATGGTAGCGAGCAGCTGCTGGGATGGTGCGGATGGGTTGGAAGACGACGCAGGAGCCCGCAGCAAAAGGCCGATGGTGCTGACCCTAACATGGGGGCAAAAAGACAAGAATTAGAGGTAAGAATGTCGCTATTGAGTCCCTATGCCACTGTACTATACTGCAGACTCTGCAGACCAAAACCCTGATTCTTCCAGTTCTCAAGGTGCTCATTATGCTATTGCCTTCCGCCAGCAGTCTTCTGTGCGCCTTCTCTTGCAGGACGACTGTTGCTTTCCGCCAACGGCCAGAAACCGAGATCCCAAAGCCTAATTTGGGGGCCTTAATAGTCGAGAGAATGAGTTTTTGGTGGTAGATGTTCCGCAATTCTACAGGGACTGTAGGAAAATACGATTGCCGGATTTCAACCCTTTTCTTAAATCCTGGTGTCTCTCTCTCTCTCTCGCTCTCTCTCTCTCTCTCTCTCTCTCTCTCTCTCTCTTTCGAGGTTTCACCCTGAACCCCAAAATACCCTAAAGTCGTTAAACCCTAGAACGCTGCAACCCTAGACCTTAAAACGCTGTTTAAAGGCTTAACTTAAAGCCAACAAACAATAAAGCACTAAAGCACTATAACCCTCAACCCCTACACCCTGAAACCGGAAGTCGAAAAACGCTAAACACCATATACCGCCTAAACCGTCTAAACTTCCTATACCGTAGCCCTTTTGCAACAGGCCTCGTTGTCCAAAGGTTTAGCCTCAACACTAAACCACCAAAAACCCTAAACCTCAGCCACCCTAAAGCCCGAATCAACAAAAAGCTGCCCCGAAGATGCGAGTCGGCTCCTGGCGACTCTGAAAGAGACGGTGGTTCAGCCCTGAGGCTCAGGGCTTCAGAGGCTTAGGCGGCTTAGGGCTCTTTGGATTGTAGGGTTTCGCGATTAGGGTTTTGGGGTTTAGGGGTTTGCTTCGGGAGTTCATAGGGTTTTGCGCGGACTTTTTTTTTTTTCTTTTGCGGGCCCTTTTCCAACTGCAGATATGTAGCCGCAACTCGGATTAAGGTTTTGGGTGCTAAGGTTTAGTTAAGGCTCAAGGCTCTGAAATTTTAGGGTTTAGGGCTTTTGGATTATAGGGTGACACTATTGCTGCGTCGTCGGATGATGTGAAACGTTCTGAAGAAGAAGACGACACTCGTGCAGGACGGTTTAAAGCTTGCGAGTTTGGTTCTAAGATTCAGGGTCTATGGCACTATGGCTCCAGGCTGTAAAGGTACTATAAGGGTTCCATAAGGGTTGGAAATTCAGGGGGTTTGTAGCTTGTGACAGGGTCTGTGTCTTAGTGGTGGCTTACAAGAGGAAGATCAGGCCATTTCAAGAATAAGGAACTGCGGGGTTCGGGCTTCTATAGAGTTAAGAAGATTGTGAAATGTAACGAACTGTGGCAAAAGGCTGTGTCGAAGGCAGGCCAGCTGGCCCAGTCCAAGGGAGTCTAGAGATTCATCGCGTGCAGTTAAATGCGGATATTGCGGATATTAACGGTTTCTGTAGCGTGTCGAAGTGGCTCAAAGGCCTTATTATTTATATACTTTCTTCGGAAAGCTTTCTGTGTGTGGTTTCGCAATTTATTCGAGAAAATGTCGGGAAAGGGGACCCCGAACACGATTCTGCTTCGCAAGGGATCGATGCCTCTCCTCGCCCGGAATCATGCAAGCCGAATGAACCGTACATTGCAGAATCTTCTCAATGCAACGGGCCTCCCAAGTCCCATGCCCTCTGATTGTGGTAGGACGCACTCATGACCATAAGTTAGGGCCAGTTAGGGCACACGTAGAAGTCACAGCGGCTTCCGTCAATCTGGATTCCAAAACATCAGCTGCTGAGGCAGGTGCATGCATGCTCACTACGGAAGGCATGCACGACCTGCACAGGGCCGCTGGGCTGCTTGCTTCACTGCCCCACCGCTGTAACCACCACCACCACCACCACGATGACTACTACTATGCAGACCATGCTTGCCAGCCTACACCGCTGTTTTGCGCCTTCTCCTTAAGGTGCAAACATTAGCAGATCTTTTTCTGCAAGTCCCCTGGGCTGGTTCCGCAGATGTGCACGGGCCATAATTCATAATTAACACACACACACAGACAGACAAACACAGACAGTCACACACCTTGCAATACCCCTCAGGGTGCACGCACCTGATAACCATGTACTCTCTCAAATAGTAGCCTAAATAACTGCTATCCGAAACCACTTCTTCGAAGCGTCGTGTGTGTAGTGTTGTTGCGAGCTCTCAGGAGGGGGTTTCGACCTCGAAACCTCAGCGCGGTACTGATAGGCAATTATCGAATATTGAGTTTCTGCCTCGATCCGGTACGGCATCTCCTCGTCGTCGACAGCGTCCTTGCAACGGGCAAAGGCGGGAAGGACGGCTCCGACACAGGCGATTACGGCTGTCGGACCCGGTGGAAACCCTCTGGAAGGCGGAGCTTGGTGACTGCCAGAAGACATGCACTGTACTGTACTTCCAGGCAGAAACCCCAAACACGAAGCCCGAACTTGATCTGAGATCGGGGCATCATCGGGAACCCGATCTCTGGTCAGGATTCGCCGGAAGGTAGCATCTACTAGTTGCTGCAACGATTCCTGCAAGGTCAGGCAAGCGATGTTTCAGCATGGTCCGGATGGAGTCCAAAATTGAAAACGGGCCCAACATCATGTGGCTTTTGTCAAGATATCATTCGGACACATGAAGCATGCCGCACTTTATGTGCAAGAGTTGTATGGGTTCACAGATCAGAGGCAAGTTCCCTGAACCACGAAAGTCTGACACCGCGCCGGCCAAAGTGTCAGGTCTTCGGATCGAGCAAACAAAGCAGAGAAGAAAAAATACTTCTACATGCACCCCCCTTTTTTGCAACAGGCTTTCCACTTCGCCCGGAGTTGGAGCAAGCAGCCCTAGCAGCTTCACTGCGGAGCCAGCTTTCGCATCCGCCGATCAANNGATCAACCAAACCCTAAACCCTAAACGCCCACGCGCTAATTAAGCAATGTGCAGCTCAAACCCGAGAGCCCAGTAGGTCAACTGCCTTCTCCTCCGTGGCGCAAGTTCGCACCTTGTGAACTTCTTGTCGCTCCAGAACCTCTGCAAG